GCAATCATTGGAAAAATTCCAAAAGGTTTTGGAGCAAAAGGACCCCAGGAAAGATTTCTCAACTTCGAATACATATTCCCATAATAGTCTTGTATGAATTTGTTAACATAGTTTGATAATGGTACAAGACTATTAAGTAAATTATCAACACATGGTCGATGATTTAAATTGTGACTACTAGCCGTATTGGCACTTGTATATGGAAGACTAGTAAACCTTCTATAAGTACCAAAATGTTCAACAGAGTTTTTACAAAAATCTTTGCTTTTATGTGTTTTGTCACTCATTAAATAGGAATAGTACTTATTTACTACATCGGTAGCTTGAATTAAGGTATTTTGATTATCTATATTTTCTAAGTGAATCAAAGTTCGGTCATTTTGATCCACTATACATCCTGAATTAACAAAACAGTATGCACTTTTTACTAATTGATTATCTTGTCTTGTTAATCTATATTTTGATTTTGCTGAATTCTTTAATTCCAATTCTGGAACAGTTAAATTATCTTCAATTTTAATAATCCCATCTTCAATCTTAAAAGAAAAATCTCTAAGAAGTATATCCCATTTTTTCCTTAAAAGATATTTAAGTAGTCCAGATCCTTCAATATTTCCTTTCACATGATGATTATTAAGATTAAACCAAAATCTAAAACTGTTCCATCTTTCAGAATCCCAATTAACATCTTTTTTAATAATTATATTTGAAATTATTAACTTAAGCCAATCAAAAGGAATGTTGAAAAACTTAAGTGAATAATTTCTTGTGCATTCCCTTATTAAAATTCCAGCTAATAAATTACACAAAGGTATTTTATTCTGGATTCCAGTTGGTATCTTATCAGAAGGATTAAGAAACTGGCTTTTCCATAAATATTTCTTGTAAAATTCCATCTCTTTTATAGATACCTTTTGAGAAGCACCTTGGTAACGATGCTAATAATAAAATAAAAATAATAAAAACATAATTTAAGATATTTGATATAATTAATATTTAAATAATTTAATGTAATTTAATATAATTATTTTGTGATTTATATAATTGACATAATTGAAATAATTAAATAATTGAATAATTTGATCGTGAAGTATCATGCATCTAATAATCAAAATTGATAAAATTTTAACACCAATTGGTTTAACCTATTTGCAAATAATAAATCTCCCTGCCTACTTGCAAATCATTCATAAATCTACCTGCCTATTTTCAAATCTCCTTTACCTATTTTTCTTCATTGATCAGTGTTATATTTCAAGTAATTAATAAAAATGCTTACTTGATTTGAATTAAAAATTAAATCCTGTTGATATTGTTGCTGTTTTTGTTGTTGGATTTTTTTTTGTTGCAGTTGTTGTTCTTGTTCTTCTTCTTGATCTTCGTCTTGTTCTTCTTCTTGCTTTTCTTCTTGCAGTAATTGTTTTTCTTGTTCTTGTTCATATAGTTGTTATTATTGTTCTTGCTCATTTTGTTTATGTTGTTGTAGTTGTTGTTGTTGTTTTTTCCAATTTTTTTTATATAAAAATCGAACAGCTCTCCTTGATTTCTTTGGTAGTGGTGGTGTCTGCATAATAGAAAAATTAAAAATTAGAAATTACATCGAAAAGAAAATACTATCATCTCCTCTTTATTCATATTATTTGATAGCCAATCAAGCCACACTTAAATTATTAAATAAACTTTCTAATCTGTAACTATTAATAGTATTATAGATTATAGATCATTTTGTACCACTGAGTGACGAATTGACAATTAAATTATATCTGAGGCTAGGACTTTGTATAAAAAAAAAATTTTTCCATTACAGAGTTAAAAAAAAGTGAGTTTAAAGTGAGGTGAGTGGGAAAAATGAGAGAAACAAGGAGAAGCGAGGGGAATGGAGGAAGCGAGATGAATGGGGGAAGCAGGGTAAATGGAGGAAGCAGGGTAAATGGGGGAAACGAGATAAATGAGGGAAGCGAGATGAATGGGAGGAAGTGAGATGAATGGGGAGAAGCGAGATGAAAGAGGGAAGCGAAATAATTATATACAAAATAAATAATAATAATAAAAATAAATAATAAAAAAATAATAATAATAATAATAATAAAAATTAAAAATAACAAAAATAAATAATAATAAGAGTAAAAGTAAAAGAAAAAAAAAATAAAGGTGAAAGGGTGAAGCGAAGTAAATGGGGGAAGTGAGGTAAATAGGAGAAGCGAGGTAAATGGGGGAAGCAGGGTAAATGGTGGAAGCAAGGTAAATGGGGAAAGTAAGGTAAATGGGGGAAGCAGGGTAAATA